TTTTTTTTAATTCTATATTATTTACAAAAATAAAACAATTTAAACAATATTGTGTTACTTAAATCATGTTCTTAACTTTATTTTTTGACTTTTCATGTGTATTATATGGTAACAAGTGTCAATTATCGACAATTTACCGACATTCAAGAGATATCGACAGGATTCTATTATAGCGCTTCGCCACGATAAAAGGCTGAACTAATAGGCGTGGAAAAGTGACATTTTGACGACGAAATTTATGTTGCGTGCCATTTCGTTATTATTTGCTTAATTGTGAAAATATGACTTATTTCGTACTTGTCAAAGTCGTAGTTATTGAACAAAACTAAAGTTATCATGAAATTTTATATGTGAAAGCGTATTTTCCACTTGTTTCAACAGCTGTCAGACCGTATGTTTCTGCCCGAGTATAGGCTCACTTTACATGTTTTTTACAACTATTTGCTGACTGTCAAGGGAAGAAAGGACAGTTTTGTTCAATTTTTACAAGTATTTTAAAGCGATCTCGTCCTTTAGATTTATCCAAATTGTCTTTATTTACAAATGGCACGCAACATAAATTGACGTGTCATTCCTCGCTTCTGACTAGTGTTGCGAGGGAGGGAAAACCACCGGGAAAAAACCCGGAAAAAACCTGGGAAAGAACGGGAACGAAAAAACGTTTCTTCCCACGCTTTAAGGGAAAGAACTCTCCTGGCCATATTTTCTTTATATATGGCAATTGGCGACATTGGCGACAATGGCGACACTCAAAATCAACGCGTGTCAATTTTCTTAACTATCTATGCATTTATGGGTTCTGTCGCGGTTCAATGAGTATGAAATACTCTTAGACGAGCGGGAGGGTTGTGCATCCTGAGACGACGTCGTGCTTCCTATTGAATGCCATGAATTACTATTATATCTTTACTAGCACTTTTACCTTTATTCTTCTTGCGAATCATTATGGAAGAGTTAGCTGAGGAGATCGAGTCAAGATGGCGGGAATTGTTGTTAGTTATTGTATCGTAAGGTTGAAACATACTGATGTTAAAATTTTATTTTTATTAATTCCTCATTTATTGATTGTATGTTGCTCCGTGTTCCATATAAACTTGATGTACGTATATATTATATTAAGAGAAAGTTTTTTATAATTTTATTTATTATTCCAAGTAATATTTGTACCTATATCTTAGATGACATAGGATTTTGGTCAGACTTGACTTATGTCATTAAATTCCTTCAGCCCATAGCGGATGGAATCTTGCTCGTGGAAGCTGATGATGCAAAGCTATACTCATACAGTTGCTATATTTATGAATATTAGAAGTAAGATCATCGAAAATAATATCAGAGAATCTCCTTTTTCTCTTGATGATGTCTCAAGAATTAAGAAGGCTCTCAAATATCGTATGGAGTACGGTATGAAAGATATACACAAAGCAACTTATCTTTTAGATCCTAACTTCTGTGGAAAAGAATTAAGTGACATAGAAATTCTTGCTGCAACACAAGTGATTCAAAACATTGCTACTACTTTCAAACTTAATATAGATAAAGTAATTCAGAATTTACTAGACTTTAGAACCAAGAAAGGTTTTTATCAAAATGATATTTTATGGAAAACAGTAAGAAGCAGTGATCCAATTAAATGGTGGGATCAATTTTGTCAACAGCAGCCGGTTTATCCTATTGAAATGCGCCTTTTGTCACTTCTCCCATCATCTGCAAGTTGTGAACGTATTTGGTCAGATTATGAGTACATATATCCAAAGAAAAGAAACAAACTCCTCAATCAAAAAACTGAAAAGTTGGTGGCTGTTAAAGCTAATCTTCGAGTATTGAGAAGAGAAAATTTATTTCATTTATCTCGTGAGGAGAGCACTGAAAAGAGGAGAAAAGTAATCTTCGAACTCGGTGTAATACCACTTTTGGAATCCGAGGCGAACGGGGAAGACGGAAGAAGAGGAAGGCGAACAGAATAATGACAAAGAGTCCTTTGAGTTTTCTGACAATTATGCATATGATGTGCGACCGCACTCACGAGCGTGGTGCCACTTCGTCGCGCGTTCGCGAGTATTGCTCTACCTCTCCTTCGGCGATACTTTCGCGACAACAAAAATACTCCACGCCACAACGGCTCTCT